ACAACAGTGTTCTTCAGGACAGATCTTGAATGTTGGTTTTGACAGTGAGCTGCCATTCTCCTTCAGTGTGTCATTCTTGACATAATAGGTTGTATGATTTTCTGATTCAAAATGACCATTCTCAGCTCACTTATGCCAAGTGATGAGGGATATTTTTACATAGGAAGTTTCTGTAGTGTGACATAAATTTAAATATGTAGAGACAGATGAAGGTGGGCTTTGTGCTAGTGTAGGAGAGGGAGTGAAATTGAGCTTCAGCGTGTAGATGGCTCAGTACTAGGGCAGGGCAGAAGTTCCCCTGATGGCAGTAGAGAGTCCTGCCCGTAGAGTTAGGCTGGTGCTCCTTTACAGAAAGACTTGACTGCTAAGAAATTAATATTTTTATTTTCAGATAAATGGGATCTCTTAACTGTTTTTTAAGCAGGGATTGTTTGTAGCTTTAGTCTCCAGTGTATATAGGAAATTAAGTATAGTATGAGTGGTACAGAGAGGCAGTAGAAATACAAGTCCTTAGTTGTGAACAGACAGGTCTTAGTAAATAATCAGTAGGAATATGGGAAGATCCAGGGCACAGAGGAGAGGTAGCTTGGTTTTGATTGGCTCCATCTTGAGCCAGTGGAGGTGGTTTATGGGCTTAATGGAAGGATGCTTGCTTTTTATTAATTATTATTAGTAGTGTTATTCAGAAGGAGGAGTGGCCTCCACTTCCATAATAGCTTGCCTCCGGAAACCCTATGATCCTGGAGAGAGGATGAAAGATACCCAACCGTTGAGGACTCCCCTTCATAGGGTAGCTATGAGTCGCCTGCGACGGCAACAGCACTTAACAACATCATCATCATCATTATTATTAATTTTAATGAACATTTACAGAGACTTTGGATTTCCATTCATTCATTGTTGCATTTTTCTCCCTGTCCACTCCTCCCCTCCAGGGATGCTTGTGTTCAAGTAATGTTGGACTGCCAAGTGTAATTGTCTGGCAAGAAGTTAGACCAAGGATACTGGAGATTGGGAGACAGATGTGGAGGTCATTGTATAAAAATGGGGGATCCCAGAGAAGAGAGTGTGAGGATTGTGAGGTGTTCTCTCACATACATAGGGTATGTTGCCAGGAAGGGCCAGTCCTAAGGAGAGTTTGCGTGGAAAGGCAGAGGGCTGAGCAGAAGAGAGCCAGACCATCAGTGACAGTGACCACAGCAGTGGTTGTGACCACCACAGAGGCTGTGAGCCTGAGGCAGGGTTGAGGTCTGTTGTACGTGGAGTTGCTATGCTCAGTCAGCCCGATGGCACCTTACAGCACATCCCGTGCCCATCACTTGTCTAGGAGTGGCGAGCATCCCTAGAATCCACACTCCAGTGTGTTAAAGGGGCATATATGTATGTGGGGTGGGAGTTGAGGTTGGGGGGTGGTGTTTAGATGTTGAGGCAACTGATTTAGGTTAAGTTTTCAGGAGTGTGATAAGGCAGTAGCTGAAGAGGGCAAAGGAAGGTTACTTTAATTAAATTTAACAAGCATTTATCAAGTACCAATTAAGTGCAAGGCACCCTATTAGGAGTCAGGGAGGACACAAAATGTGATTAAAATAAAGTGATTTTCTTCCCCTAAAAATTGCTACCTCAAGTTCTTTGGCATTAGATAGGCAATTTATCTTCAATGACATATTAGAGGTGCAAGTATACCAATCACTGGGACAAATGTAGTGGCAGGAACAAGGGAAGATGGCAGAGCGAGTCAGAAAATTGGAGGAACCATGAGAGAGAGAAGGGAAGAGGTGATGCGGTGGACAGGAGGGCCAGTCAGCCTTCATCTTTGCCCTCGAGCATGGAGGAAAAGGAAAGGATAAGACGATTTCTAATATATTTTTATGTAGTAGTTGTTCTTGTTGTTATGTGCCGTTGAGTCACTTGCGACTCAAGCTCCTATGTACAACTGCCCTAAATCCTGTTCTGTCCTGTGCCAATCTCATTGTCTCCGACACACTCATCCCAATTACCTCCATCACGGAATCAATCAACCTCCCAGAGGGCCTTCCCCTCCTGCGCCTGCCCTCCGCCCTCCCAAGCATGATGTCCTTCTCCAGGGACCGGTCCCTCCTTAAAACATGACCAAAGTGTGTCAGATGAAGTCTCAGAATCCTTGCCTCCAAGGAACAGCCCAGTTTAACACTCTCCAGGATGAATCTGTTGGTTTTCTTAGCAGTCCATGGTACCCTCTGCACTCTTCTCCAACACCAAAGCTCAAAAGTATCAATTCTTCTATCCTCCCTGGTCATTGTCCAGCTCTCTGACGCATAACAAGTGATTGCAAAGACCATGGCCTGTACCAGATGCACCTTAGTCTCCAGAGACACACGGTTGTTCTTCAGTACTTTAGAGAGGTCCCTAACAGCAGACTTTCCCATCACAATACGTCTTTTAATTTCCTGGCTGCTGGTGCCAAGAGTGTTGACTGTGGAGCCAAGCAAACTAAAGCTCTGAACAATCTGTGTCTTCACCATCCATCCTGATGCTGCCAATTGGTCCAGTGGTGAGAATCTTTGTCTTCTTGACATTTTTATGTAGAGCAAAGCAAAATGAGGTTCCCAAGAAGTCTTCATTCCAAACATCATCATGTGCAGCAGAGAGGGACCACATTTCCTCCCTCTGAATAAGTTCCTAGTCAAATGGAAAAGTGGACCTGTAATGCTTCTTTATTTTTGTCCTGTTCTGTGAGTCATTGAGTGGATGGCCTGTGGCTGAGCATCCTTTGTGTCTTAATGCCTAAGGGAACTCTAAGTCAGTGGCCTTGTGAGAAGGAGCTCTGCCACCCACTCAGAGGCTCGTGATTGGATCCTACCAGCTGCTCCCCTGGAGGAACATGGGCATCTTCTCTGATGGGATTTTCTGCCTTTGAAAACGTGCTGGAGGGGCAGCTGTGTGTGGGTTCCAACTCGAAGGTACATAACAAAAAAGGAATGTGTGGGTGCTTTATTGAATTTATCAGTTATCATGTGAATGTTTCAGTGCTGCAGTTTCCTAGGGCCTGGGTGCGATAGAGCGTCACAAAGTTTAGAGTCTAGGAAAGGAGATAAGAGAAAGAGGGACGTATAGGCAGTCTCTTGATAAACTCTCGTAAGCCGAACTATAATCTGAGGTAGAGAGAGGCTGAATGCCTGACCAGCATGCATGAACTATTACAGGAATTTAGAGGAGCAAGAGAATTGGAGCAGGAACGAGATCTTAAAATGAGTATGTCATATATTTGCTTAAAGTTTCTGTTTTACTTTCTTCACAGAGGCTACTCGCTACATATTTAGGAAATAAAAATCAGAATCAATAACAATACAGTTACGCTGGGAAAGAATTGAGATGCTCACCCAACAGCAGGCAGTTCAGATTCCCCATTTGCTTCTTGGGGAGAAAAATGAACAGTCTCCTCTCATGTGATTTACAGCTGCTGGAAACACTGGGTGGTCAGCTTTGGGCCTGTTCCAACTTGATGGCAGTGAATTTGAGTTTTCTTTTAGTAACAGTGCATAAGAGAGGATGAACATGGAAATGCCTGTTCAAATGGAGAGATGCATTGTTTTGAACTGCCTGGTTAAGCACAACTCTGGCAGGGCTTTGAGAACAGGGCTTGAGTGCTTCAGTATCTGGATTGGCGCCCCAATTTTCCCTTTTATGTATGTAAACTTGCCTTAAAATAGTAATGCTTTATTTTATCGACATCATTTTAAGTGCATGCAACCATAAAATAAGTGTAGGGTCAGTAGGACAAAAGGACTTATTAATACTATACCCTGAATTTTATAGTCACACAAAGGGATTAGTAAAAAAGGAAGAAAATAGAAGCAGTTTTCAAAGAAGGGGGAAATGTGCATTTTTACAAGAAATTATTAGCTGTTCCCTTACAGGAATAGTATACTTTTCTCTTTAGCTAGTGTGTGAAATCTGTTAGGAAAGAAAATGATGAAAGGATCTGTTCTTACTATTTGCCTGTCAGAAGTTCGGCCTGAAAGTGATGGATTTAAAGGCACAGCCTAGAATGTAATCACTCGAGAAGTTAGTCTGAGAATTATTCACCGCTTGTTCTCACAGGACGTAGTTTTGAGTTGGAGGGATTCCTGCTGAGGAATATTTTTAACTTAATGTCCTCTCTCGTCCGCCCCGTCCCCTCCCCTCCTCAGATGCAGCAACAAGGCCTGCCTGCCCAAGGTGGTCCCTGCAGCCCGGCTTGATGCCGCCTTGCTGAGGTCAAGCACTCCCATTCCAGCCTCTCGAGGGCTTTCTCTCTGTGTTGCCAGTGTGCTGGTAAAAATGACTTTAAACTCTTGTCAGTGCAGTTACTGGTGCGTGCATCACAGTCCCACTCAAATAAACCTGTCACAACACAGAGCCGGCCGCTGGAGAAGAGTACAAGGGCAGGCCTCTAGCTTTTCATTCGAGCATCACTAAACGTGCACAGAGTGCCCAATTATTTCAGCATTATTGAGCAGGCCTACAGGAGGACCCAAGCCTTGCTACATTAGATTTTCTTTAGTAATTTGCTCAAGTACCGCTGAGGACACTTAAAGGGCTTAAAACGGTGGTTGCAACCAGTTTCCTTTTCTGGGTTGTTAATTCAGGTTTTCTCTTTCAAATTAACTCTCACTGCATGCTGTGCGGCGGGTTCTGGGAGAACTGTTTAACGCTAATTTTCTCAATTTTCAGAATTTTTTTTTCAACGTAACTACTGTAGCGGGTATTCATGTATATGTTTTTATTAGAAGTGTATGATAGCAAGGTCCTTTTTTTTTTTTTTTGAGAACAGAATACAGAAGCTTTGTGACAAATCTGTGTGAATGTTAGCTTTTAAAAGTTATTTAAATCTTAAAAAGAGACAATTACTTAGTTACAATTAAGGGTCTCGATGGTGTATGCTGCCTTTCTTATTATTGGTGTACTTTCCTTCTCTCTCTGTGTATAGGGAGTGGACATATGGGACAAATTCAATATCTGTGTCTGATTTTTCACAGCAGCAACAACTCCAGGCCCAGCATTTGTCACATGGACACGGTCTGCCGGTGCCCCTGACACCACACCCTTCAGGCCTTCAGCCTCCTGCCATTCCGCCCATCGGGAGCAGTGCCGGGCTCCTGGCTCTGTCCAGTGCCCTGGGAGGCCAGTCCCACCTTCCAATTAAAGATGAGAAGAAGCACCATGACAATGATCACCAAAGAGGTGAGCATGTCTCTTGGGATGCCAGCCCGATATTACCTGCCTGCTGCTGAGGGCACTTCTGCATGCCATGGTTTAGTCTATCTCTGAATTGAATTTTACCAGTGACTAAACAAAGGATATCTGGTGGAAGGTAAATTAATTATCGCAGGCATTCATTTGCCAAATGATGCCCTAGTGGCTAGCAAGAGTTAATGCACTCCCCAGGGGCAGAAGGGCCTGCATCCTGGTTATTACCTGTGATCCCTTGCTGCCTCCTACGCTCCCAGTCAGTAATGAAATCCCACAATGCTCTGTATTTATATGTCAGAGTGAGTTGTATTAATAGGTTATTTTAGCTCATTCTATTTTGGGAAAGACTTATTGATAAAGGCTCACTTGCTATTTAATCACTATAAATAGGAAATCATAAAAATCTCACGTGAAAAAATTAGAGTAGTCTTGGTAACTGGGGAGGTGCCGTCCAAATTAATGACATCTGTGGTTTTAGCTCATCCTCCACACTGTCTGCTGAGGAGCATGAAATAACTTTCTTCTTTTCTAAGAACAACACAGTTGTTTCCATAGAACACAGTTGTTTCTTCTTAAAGAACAACACAGTTGGTCTCCTTCTAGCGCACTTCTCTCCCTCTTCTAACTACAGGGCCATTCTGGTATGACTGTTTAGGTGGTGCCTATTAGTCATTTTATTAGTTACTGGAAGGAAAGCAAATGAAAGTCTCTCCCAGTGTTACGTTGTGGGAATTTACTTAGCACCAGGGTGGTTCATTGCTTGGAAGGGTGTGGTTTATAATTAGAAGCTTATATCTACTCCTGTTTCAAAGTCATTACCATGAATTATCATTTTAGGTAAATGATTTTTATCATGTAAGTGTACGTTTCCCATCTCTGATGTTGGAAATGGTGTAATATTTGTCATCCAGTTATCTTAATACTATGGTACAGAGCTCTGAGGCATGATGATAAATACTTTTATGGGTGGATAGGTTGATAAGGATAGGCATAATAGGAATACTCAAGCTGTGGCCTCTAGAAGGTAGACTGGAACTTTATGAATCTGATCAAGTATTGTTAATAATTAACATTACAGCAAAGTTAACATCTTTGCAGTTTATTATTTAGTAGAGATAAAGGTAAGATTTATGCAAACTAACCAATACTTGTCTTCTTTCTGTTCCCGTCCTCCTCTGCTGGTGTTGCTGCTATTTTGCCTGTAGACAGAGACTCCATCAAGGTAGGACACTCACATATGAAGGGGTGGCTTAAAAGGGCCCTCAGGTTTGAAGAAATCTAATCTTAGATTCTTTGAGAGTTAAAGAATGATTTGCTGAGCTTTCTCAACTATTAGTTAACTAGGTTTTGGGATTACTCTCAGGTGTTTGATTGAGATTTTTGTAAAATAAGGTCCCAGTCTCTATCAGAATCAGATTTGTAGACCAAAATTGAATCATAAGATCTCCCTTGTTTTGCTCATTTTATTATGTCTTGCCATATGGAAAAGAATAATTTATTTTCTTTGGCTAGGCTTAGAAATAACAATGGAAGTAAGTAAATGATTTATATAGAAATGTATACTTTTTAATAATTTAAAAAAATAATGCCGTCTTATAAAACTATCAAAGCATTTGGGTTAAGAGCATTTTTCTTTAGGGAATTTTTTTTAGATGACATCTTGGTTTCTAGAATAGTGGGCCATTCTTTATAGATTGGAGTTTTGTCAGCCTTCAGACAACTTGCATGAGGGAAGATGGAATCTCTGACATAGTCCATAGGGGGTTACACTGTAGTCCAAAAGCTCCACCTCTGGACAAAGATGGACAATCTGAAAACCTGTTAGGGTTCAGCTGGGAGTTGGAACTAATCCAAAGACAAGGCAGTTTTTTCAATGAGAACTTGGATATGCATATGTTAAACACCAGAATGTGAGATACTAAGGATCTCCTAAATCTGTTTTGTATGCAAACAAGAAAACCCAGTCACCAAGACAAGAAAGGAATAAAATATGAAAACTCTGAGAATCCCTTTTGAGCCAGGCACACTGTAAATATCAGAACCCTGTGGTATTGTATTTAGTATAGATGAGAGGAAAAGGAAAGGACCATCCAGCAGCATTGGCCAAAGTCCAGAGGCAGTAAATTACATTTCTTTTCATATTTTGAAGATAAAAGTAGTTATATATTTCAGTTTATAATGAAGATATGTTTGTGAAAACAACTTAGGAAATCTGTGCTCTAACATTCAGTACCTCTTCCCTGTCCTCTATCCAATAAAAATTTATCAGCATTAGGAAGTGGATGGCAAATCCTTCTTACTAGTCTTTCTTAATCTGAATGCTCAGATTTAGAAAAGTCTCTGACAGACAAACATCTTACAGAAAAAAGCAGACAAATGATATTTCCCTAATTATAGAATTAACCAGTAGTTTCAGTGTTGTCCCTGACCTTGACATATGTGTCTCGACCTACCCATTCCCCTGCTCCACCAGCATCCCCTTGTGTTTTGAAGACTGAGAAAAACTGGATAAATTATGTTTACTGCATTGAAGCCGATGAGGGAGAGAATCGTTTAAAAGTAATATAGTAATATATTATGATTATTACAAGAGTCTGGAATGAGGGTTGCAGAGTGGAGTATAGTCAGGGTGGGGGTGGGGTTGAGCGGGGGCGGGGGATTGTGTACCAATGAACGAGTTTTTCTTTTGCTTTTCAAGGAGAGGAGCAAACTGGGGGTGGGGTGGGCGGGGAGAAAAGTGCAACAGTGAATGAATGGAATTCCAAAATCTCTGTAGATGTTCATTGAAATTAATAAAAACAAAAAAAGGAAAAAAAAGTGAAAGGGTGTTCTCTGTGGCCTAGTGGATAGAAAGTTAAGCTACCAACTGAAAGGCAGGTTGTTCAAATCCACTGTCTGCTCTGTGGATGAAAAATGTGCAGTTTCCTACCATGCCAAGTATATAAATGTCCACATTGATAATGGGAAATTATTTTTGCATTTAAAGCTGTGTGTTTTGTTGCATATTGACTCTTAACACTGAAAAACATTTATTGAAGGATAGTTCCGCAGATGTGTATTTGGGAAGTACAGTCAATCTTTTGCTTTCCAGAGTCCTGAAGACTATTCTCTAACCTTCAGGGTTAAAGAAATGTGTCCTCACTTTGAAATTAATCATGCCAGCCTCTGCAGATTTGACCACAATCATCACTTGTCGCATGTACAACTTTTAAATCATTGCAGAGTTTTCACGCCTTTATCTTCACTAAACATAGGAAATAAGAACAGTATTAATCTGTTTGACTTGACCTGCACATTCTCAGACAGTTAGGAACTGACCATATTCGTAACCTGGGGACAGCCTAGAGTAGGTAAGGGAAATGACCAGCATTAGCTGATTTCAGCCTCAGAAAGCCTGCCTAGTTATTCTGAAGCCAGAATATAAACATTCTTGGCTTTCCTGTGATAAATACATACCTCTCGGCAGGTTAGTAAACTAAACAAAAGCCTCCTCTCATGCCTTACTCCCAGAAGGCTGGGAAAATATTTACACTCCACTGCACCTTTTTGTGTCAATTACATTTTATATTTCCTCACGCAAGAACAGGGTGTGTTTTGAAGTCATCTGTAATCATTCTGAGTGAGCTTAGGAGTAGTGAGTGTGGAGCTGGAACCTTGCGGGGAGACACGGAGGTAGAGGTGTGTGGGTTTTGCCCTGGTTTATTAGGTAATGATAATTAAAAATAGACACTTTTGTTGGTTACGGTTCTCACCGTGCGGCCCGGCAGTGTCTCATCGGAGCTGCCCCACAACTCTGCATGGTGAGGTGGTTTGCTCATTTTTGTCCATGTTTTCGGCAATGCTGAGAGCAGGGCTGGCTTGTTTCATCGATCGCCCCTGTCCCCCCTAAGTGGTTCCTGGTTAAGAGGGGCTTTTTATGATTGTCTGCTGTGTGACTCGAGATGGTTTTTATCAGCCAGAGCGTTCCAGTTGCCTGCAGCGGGAGTTGGGCTTGTATGAAATAATTTATTCATGCAGGATAATGCTCCTTAACATTTAACAGGTAATGAACGTGACATAAATTTCCTTCTTGCTTTTAATTTTTCCCTTTCCTCTTCTAATGTGCAAACAGGCAGCTCTGGTACTCTAAATAATAAGTAATTTTTGGCCATCTGTCAAAAGGAAATTTCAATACAAATTTAAATTAATGGTGCCTGAAATTTTTTATAGCTCCTCTAAAAGCCTCTAATGTGCAGAAAATTCTGAATCTGCTGGTAGTAATTAGTGTTGCATGTAATGAGGATGTGGGCAGTGTTATACAGTCCCAGCGTAACATTTTGATATGGTAGCAAAACTTTGATTTATACAAGGTTGTGGATGAGTTTAATTGTGAGAGACACTTCAAAATGTTTTCTTGATGTTCCAGATTATTAAACAGGGCAGATTTTAGAATAGCTCATAAAATATAAATTTAAACTTACTGTAAAGACTCAGGTAATTACAGAGCTTTACCTTAAAGTATCAGATAAGGTGAAAGACATTTGCTCAACTGTTGGGCCCTCTTTCTTCCTTTTCTTTTTCATCTTAGTAGTTCTGCAGCTGCTAAGTCACATGCATTAGTGTCAAGGTAGCCTGTTGGCTTTATTGATCATATTTTCTGTAGTTCCAGTGGTGAACTTCATTCCTGAACTTAGTATTTGCAGACTTGTGTCTGAAATTTTTTGACAAGGATGGAGAATGTAAATATGGCCATGAAGGAGTGAGCTCCTGGAGGAGCCCAGGAATCAGCTTACTTGTTGATGAGTAACCAGAAAGGTGCAGGTTGTAGGGCTGTTGAAATGGGGAGCTGTGGTCTCTGCAGCATTCCTTGTTTATCACGTGACTTGTGCCATGACAACATATAACTCTTAAGATTTGGAGGCTGACAATAATGATAAAACAGACCAGCCTCCAGCATTACCTTTAGTGGTAGTATAGCTTAGTTCTCCAGAAGAGTCCCAACACCTGGTTCCTACATTTACCTCCTGGGTGAGGGTTTTCTCACCATCTTCGAGAGCGCTGAGAATGCTTTCACTTTTTCAGCTGATTGTTGAAAAGGCATGACCAATGAAACCTCTTAGATGGGCTATCTGCTGCCTGGCCTACTCACTGAAGGCTAATGGGTACAAGGTGGTGTTCTCCAAAGTAATGGCCGAGATGACCTACTACGTATGCCACAAGCTTCTATGCTGCTGGAGGTTCATTTCCAAAGAAGAGTTGGCTGGCACGCATCATTAGATTCCTCACATCTCTCTCCAGTTTTGTTTAGCTGAGTGGCTGAAATGAGGATAATGATTCAGAGCTAGGAAGGCCAAATTGCCTGAAATTTAATGTAGGGATCTGAGATTGAGAAATTAGCCTTATTACCTCCAAATGTCTACAGAGTTCTAATAACAGCCATAAACAAAGGGAAAGAAGACCATTTGTTTGGATATTTTTATAAAAGCGTAAATATATTGAAATTCACTATCCCCAACGATTTCAATAACATTATGATCTTCTCTCAGAGTCAATGCACCCTTCCACTGCTGTGTAACATTTCTTATGTTCTATCTTCATGGCCCTCTTCTTTTATCCTGAACTTCCACCAAATGAGGCATGTGAGGGATTTGCCTTTATAGCTGTGAAATATAGTACAAGTGCAAATGTTTTTTTCTCCAAGTGATGTTATTTTTATTTTTATGATTTTATTGGGATGTCTTCCCCAAAGCGCTGTATACATGCATCATCAAAGAGTATGATCCTTTTTTATAATTTATGCTTTGCCAAATAGACCTCCAGAAACACTGCATCAATTTAAAATGCCAAATCCAGTGTTTATGCATGTTTCCACACAACCATCAGTACTGAACTGTATAGTTTTTGCTAGGATGAGTATAGATGGTATAGTTTTTTAAATTTACATATAATTTTTCTAAGCTTAATGCTTTTTAAGTGTATATTAAGATTTTCTTATCTGATTATTTTATTTAGGGCTACATGATGATTCATTTCTTAGTTGTGTCTAAGACAATGCCTGCTAAATCTATATCATTTTTATTTTGGTGCTTCTGTGTGAAAGACTAAAACACCATACATTGCTTTCTTTCTGTTATGTGCCATTGAGTCACTTGGGACTCATAGCGACCCTATATACAGCAATTTTAACCCTGCTCTATCCTGAGCCAACTGCACTGTCTTTGACACTCCTACCCCCATTACTCT